AATGCTGATTTGACAAACACAACATTAAACAGAACTCAAGTACTTAGGCAAAAAATTGTGCAGATAACCACATCTACTTAGATATTGTTATTGTTAGTTATTGTTATAAATTGACAACTGTCATGAGACTTGTTTCACTTCTGATGAAAGCTCCATGTTGAGTCATTTTCATTTTGGTTACCATCAACCATTCAGATCCTTTGCACACTCTTCAATTAGTTCCTGGGCAACACAGATGAATGAAAATACTCCTCTCATTATATGCCTCTTACTGCTTCTCCCTCTAAATTAGTCTGAATCTGTATGACTACCCTTTCTCTTCTGCAGATGAAATTATTCATTAGCCTTTTATCTTTTAAGACTTTACGTGAAATACATTGTTATAAAGGCAAGGTTTGGAAATTATTTTTGATTAACATATTTACTAAGCTTAACTGGTATCCTGAGATAAAGCTTTAAGGGAAAAATGAGAAAGATCTAGAAGGATCAGAATGGAGGGAGAAAAAGTCTCTGATTAAAAAAAGAAAAGAAAAAAAAAAACAACTGTTTTTTGTTTTTTTTTTTTAGAAATTGTTTTTGGAAAACGGTTTGATAAGTTATAATCAAAATTATTGATACAATGCCATAAGCTTTTCTATGCGCTTAGTTGTGAAAGAATAAACAGGATGTGTTATGGAAGCATATGTGAAAATGTGTAATTCAGGTGTCATTGAGATGGAATGCCTTGAGCTTTTTGATTTAAAACAGGATTGAGTTCTCTGTTTCATGCTTTCATGGTGAAAACTATACTATTTCATTTACCACATTTACTGCTAACGGTGTAACTGAATTTAATGAGTTATCCCTTTCCACATAATTTTTCAGACCAGTAATTCTCCAGGAAAAAAAAAAAGTCTTTAAAGTGACACTGCTTTAAAATTCAGAGGGTGGTTTGTGGGTTTTTTCTTGTTGTTTTATTTTGTTCTTTCAGCTACACTACCTGTGTTTACCACAAATACAGAACTCACTGCAGCAGTGGAATTTCTTTCCTGTAAATGTTTATGAACTTGTAGAAGTCATATTATGACACCAATCCTGTTCAACAAAATCTGAATTAACCTGACAGAATCATAGAATCAATAAGATTGGAAAAGACCTCTAAGATCATCTACTCCAGCTGTCCACCTACCACCACTATTGCCCACAAAACCATGTCCCTAAGTACTACATCTACCCTTTCCTTAAACATCTCCAGGGATGGTGACCCTACCACACCCTGGGCAGCTTGTGCCAATGCATCACTGCACTTTATGGGACAAAATTCTTCTTAATATCCAACCAGACCCTTCCCTGGCAAAACTGGAGGCCACCACCTCTCGTTCTATCACTGTTACCTGCGAGCAGAGGCCAATCACCCTTGCCACAACCCCACAGCACGTGGACCACAGAATTATAACATCACAAAATGGCTTGGTGGATCTTGGTAAGATCATCCAGTTCCAAACTCCTGCCACAGGCAAGGTTTCCAACCACTAATCAGGCATCAGATCTTCACAGGAATAAGCACTGGTTCCAAGAAAAAATAGCTTTAGTAATAGCTTTAGTCTAATATATAAAAAGAAAAAATAGCTTTAAATACTTCAGTCTTTTTCCACTTACGAAGTAGCCATCAGCATAAGATACCAGTATGTGTGGAATATTAAGCATATTTCAATCCATCTTGTAGTCATATAAACGTTTAAGAACATGCTTTGCTTAAGTATTTCTTAAATCAAAGTGGCAGCAATTCAGCTTAAGTGTATACTTAACTGCTTTGCTGGATCAGAATGATTGGGCTTATTGATGTGTTTAAGATTGGAAATGAGATGTATGTGGATTAAAGTTGCCATAATACCATGACAAAGGGCTCTGGATCTGCCCAGATTTCCCCAGATACTTCCATATCTTCATCACTATTGTCACATAGGTTATAGTTCACCACAGCACTTAGGTAAATGCCTTGTCATAACAAAAATGTAGGAGAGGCACGGGTTACATCCTTTTCTGTACCACTTAGAAAGCAGAGGAAAGGTGAACCCTAGTCTTAATTGCTTCTGGTTCCTGAAAAAGGGACTCCATAGAAAAGTTATGCTCTTTTCAAAAAGTATAGACTATGGCTATCCTGGTACAACAGCTAAAATTTTGCAAATTATGCCATATAGAATTTCTCTATTTTGTCTCTTAAATCTAGCTTTCTGGTCCAAATAAGACTTCCTGCAGAAACATAACCAAGAATGTTTATTATCATTTTGAAGAATTAAATTTTCTTTCCTTTTAAATTTTAAAACTGAAATTAATTAATTGCCTATCCTATCTTTTGAAGTCCTTCAGAGCAAAATCAAAAGGCTGAAGAGGGCTTTTAGGACTTTCAAACTCTACACCACATATAAAGAATACATGTTGTCAAGAACAGATAATCCAGAGAACCCCCAAATGCTGGATTTCCCAGTCCAGCAGCAATTTTCTAACAGGATCTCTCTGAAGCAAAGACGTCACAACCATGTTTAACCATGTGATCTCAACACATTCTGCATAATGTAGGAGCTGGCCAGAGAATCACTCCATCAATGCTCTTGTGATCCAGCAACTCAGCAGACTCATGTGGTAAGTGACATCAAGTCTTTTCTCACCTTTGGAGAAAATTCACAGGTACAAAGAACATTCCTATATAACTTATTATAACTTATTCCTATATACTATATAACTCTTTTTTTTTTTTTTTTTTTTTTACAAACTAGCATATTTCATAGGAAATGGAGTTGTAAGGCTTCCAGCAAGCTGTAATCCTTAGAAGAAAACCTTTGCTACTCAGTTTAACAGTGGCAGCTGTCCAAGAGAAGAATAAGATGTACATTTGCAATGAGTTGAGCTACTGTCACTTAAATACAGCAGTAATTCTGGGAATAAACCACTGACAATATACAGCTCTGAATTACATCATCTTTTACCTACGATAAAAGGGATTGTAGTGAGTGAGGGAGAGAATGGTTCCTTCCCTCATTCCTGCAGGAAAGGTCACCGTTATCCCACCCGTCTCCCCAAACATTTGAACTCCTCTGCCTCCTCTAGAGGGAACTAAGCCCAGAGTCCAGCTGCCTGTGCGAGTACCATAAAACCTGGCAAGGTCATGCACATCTGTACATACTGATTCTCACAAGGTATGTAGACAAAGAGAGTGCCTTGACTTTTGTACTCCAAAAGGCAAACTATACTGTAAAGAATTCAAGATAAAATGCTCTCACAGAATGAAATGTAGTAGTAGAAACCCTATCTATCAAGGTAATTGTAATGCGTAATGGACACATGATAATTTAATTTTATCCTTCTGCTTTTTGCTGTCCTGTACAGAAGGTATCCTGCTGTGTACATCACAGCATTTACTCAGAAACACTGTCACGACTTCTGAACAGAAAATGTAGTTTGGATGATACTGATGTTTTAAATCTAACCTTCACCACAGATCCTGCAGAGATTAATATGAGTATACCACAGAAAGATCATTAAAAACTTTTGCTCTCATGCTGGAAGTAGATACCTATATCAACTGGTCCTAGTCAGTGAACAAAAAAATTGCAACATCTATACGGATTCAGGGCAGATAAAAGTTTATAGAGCCAAGTCTTACTAGCAATAGTTTACTATCATTGGGTGGCAGTAAACTGGATGGAAATATTTGCTTTTTGCTAGCTCCTGCAGAACTGGTAGAGAGCCTTGCTTCCAGCGATGGTAAAGCAGTCTCTTACTCCTGCTCTGGATGCCCTGTTGTTTCTTTCATTAATGAAGTTAACTGGCCACATGCCCAGCTCTGGTATAGCCCTTGTGGAGGATGCAGCAAGGTAAGTGATCTGGAGAAGATACTGCCCTAGTTATCACAGGAATGCATTTGAGGATCTCACATCACGATCAGACAGCTGTGCAGAAAGGGCAAGTTTCAGGATCAGTGTGGGAGGCCAATAGCAAATTTAGGCAACTGAAAGTGAGGTGAAACAATTGCCCTAAGCCCACTGTAGTTTCTTACCCCAAGTCTCATTTTAAATCAGTGCTGTGATTTTAAATCAGGTAATGTAAAAATCACAGCTGCTTCTGCCTCCTCCATGCTCTTACCTAACTCTGCACATCCCCTGTATGTTGCTGCTTTCTGTCATACGCAGACATCAGCTGTGCCACAAGCCACAGCAAGCAGCACCTCAAAATGGCTGCACCCTTCAGCAATTCACAGTTGTATGTTACTCAGAATGTCTTCTTCCTCTGTTTACTCAGTCTTGAAAAGTGCATACTAACCCCGATTCAGCTCACAAGCTGCGTGTCACCTTTCAGGACTTTTTCTGTTGACTGCGACTGACAGCAGTGGGAAGATTAGACAGCCTTTTAATCTCGTGCAGCTGTGATTATCATCAGCGGAGTGAAAGAGCAATTGCCTGGCAGTGCAAGTCATAGACCAATAAAAGGTTCTCAGGGCAGAAAGCAGCCATACGCTGAGCAAAGCTTCCAGCCTATTTAAGCCCATGATTTCTCACTGGGAAAACTGTAACTGCATGATAGTTTTCTGAAGGATTTTTCATGAGCCTCTATGCCAAAGATTCATATTTCACATTAATTCAATTCTTAGAAAAAGAAGGGAGAAAACATTTAGGTTCTTCTTTTAAAATTATAAACCTGAATATAATTCATTTGATCTTGGACATGTCTTCTAGGTAAGAAAAGATATTGACAATAGTAGTTTATATTTAAGAAGATTATGAGAAAAGCTGAATGAGGAAAACTGATTTCCAGAGAACTGGAAAATCTCACTATTATTCAGCAGCCACCTGACATGCTTTCAGTGGTAGGAATGCTTCCAGAGACACTTACAGAACTCTGGCAGTATATAAGCAGAGGTTATTTTGATCTAATAATAATACAAAATAATTTATTTATGTATGCAAAAAATAACTATGTATGCACAGAGAATACTAATGTTATTGAGATTACAGCTCTGTTCACACAAAATTTGGGCATATAATTTATGAACAAACAATTTCTCTTAGTACCAACTCTTAGAACAAAAGTAATGGTGCAGATTTCTATGTAGATAAAGTAGCTGTAAGGGTACTCCATAGCTCTGTATTCATCAAAGCATCTGTCACCTGTGTCTTCTGTACTCTTGACGTGTAGGTACAGTTACTGAAACACGGTGACTGTGATTTCACGTATTCACTCCAGACTCTCTGAGGCATTACAAACATCACTGTCAGGAATGGAAAGGAAAAGTATTTTGAAGAGAACGATATATACTAAAATCTAATTTTCAGAGCTAATCTAACTCAGTAGTAAATGGAACCCCTGAGCAGTAATAGCATAGGTAGTCAAATAGGTGAAGTCTAGATGAACATATAAGATAACTCACTGGCATGCTCTGAGTCATCCACAACTTCCTCAGCCTTGTGGGAGATCTCATGTGAGTTAAACTGGAAAACATTTCCAAGGAAATAAACCCGATGAAGTCCAGCTTTGCAGTTTATTTATAGTGTTTTTGTTTATGTATTCATTACAGGCACCTTTACAATTTAGATGGACAGTTGTCTTGCTAAACCTAAGCAAACACAGCAGGACTGGCTTCAATAAATCTCTGCCTTAAAAAGGAAAACTGAGCTAGTAATCTCAAAAGTAAACATGACTGAATACAGTATTTTCACTCCATTGGTCAAGAAACAGGTAGTAAGAATAAATATTTGATCCATAGAGAGATCAACAGAGATAAATGAACAATCTGACTTCGTATGTGGAGATGTGATAGACTGCAGTACTAAAACATATCTTAAACTTATTACATACTTTCTCCTATTAAATTTAAATGATTCTTGCTCACACAGACTTAAGAGTTATGACTACATCATGCAGTTTGTAGCATTATTTCTGTGGTATCTGAGACCTGAAATAAAGGAATCCAAAAGGAAATAGAAAATATGAAAATAGATAAATCATATCCAGAATAATTTATGGGCTGCATGCTGGAGCTCATCTGCTTTTCAGACATTGCTGACAAATCAAACTATTCTCATTGAATAAAATGAGAATGAAAAGTGCCAGGTTCCCTTTTGAAAGCTGGTCTTGAAATTGAATTGTCTAAATCTCAAGCCTTTCTGAAGTTATCCAAACTGGCTAAGAGACATAAACACATAAATAAATGAATGCTACTTTTTTTTCCAGTATGCAAGTATTACAGAATGATTTGCTACTTCTTCCCATCTACTTCTATGAGCAGACACATAGCTGAACACATTGCATTCAATGACAATCCTTTCATCTATCACAACAATGTGGAAAAAACTTCTGTACTACTCCTATACACACAAGCACCAGTGCCTCTCTTTCATCTACAAATTAATTTTGAAGAATATCCTGTAGTGTTCCTCAGAGTATAAGATTAGTTAATTTTTTTTTACACTGATCACATCTGGATAAACTCAGTGATTAATGTATTTGAAAACTATAGCTTGATTTGCATAATGTAAACAGATCCATACACAACATAAATAGAACTTGCAGTACTTAGTGAATTCTCCAGCATTTTGAATTATTTATTATAGCAGCACTTTAGCACAATCTTATTAAAAATATGAGTCAGATTTTCTTGTATTTATGCACAGGACTAGAGGTTAACAGCAGCCACACCAGGTACACTGTGAAAGCAGCAATAACTGAAAAATGCTTATTTGAATTTTAGGACACATAATAATATCAATACACACCTATAACCAGTGTAATCACACAAAAGATCTTATATGGATGATGAAAATATGCTGACGTACTGTCATATCAGCTCAGCATCTTGGAGCTAGGAGAAGTATAGAAGCTTTTGATGTAGGCAGGGATTTCCTTCTTCCCTACTACCATTCACATCTGAAATTTCAATAACATTATATATTCATGAAGGACTCAGTCTCATGGTACCGTCAGTCAAACTAGATGTATTTGTCAACTGAGGACAGACTGCTACGTGTTATCCTTGGCTAATTTTACACTCCAACAGGCACGTTACATCTTTTTTAAGAGTGCACCCACTGTATGTTTCCCAGTGTGGCCTTTTTCCTTCTAATTTCCATCTGCTCAGATCAGCTGCTGCTATAGATGCTGCTCCACAGAGGAGGTCTCCAATGCAAAGACCTATACAAATTCAGTTCCTGTAAGCCTGAAAAAAAAAAAAAAAAAGAATCCAAACAAGTTAGATATACTCTGGTTCTCCCACTGATGTGCCTGCAATTTCTCCCAAAGTTTGGTTTTAAAAGAGAAAAATGCCAGTGAGGAGAAGGAAAAGAAAGTCAGCTAGAAGTCTTCTTTTCCATTGCTTCTTCCCAGACATTTCAGGAAATCAGGTTCAAATAAAGTGTAGGAGACGATGTATTCTTTAACCTAGGGTGATTTAATGGTGTTAAGCATGCATTGCTTTATTTCTCCTGTTAGGACAGGATGTCTGAACAAAGAGGTTATATTAATCAAATATAATATACTATTGATTTGGAGATAATTTTTGTTATCCTTTCAATTCCTTTTTTTTTTAAATGAAATTAACTACCACAAAACTCACTCAGCAGCACCGCAATCTCTTTTCAGAATACAACTTTTCAAATATAAACATTTCCTGTTTAGTTCCATAGTAATAAATCTGAGGTAAAACTTCCCTCCCCAGCAGCAGTGGTGTGAGAAAGCAGATTGTTGATAGTCTGGAACTGAAAAAATATAGCTAGTTAATTAACAACCAAACAACATTGCCAGTAAACCTTTTCCTGTGTTCACCTGTCAGTGTAGAAAATACTGTACAAAAATACTTTCTGGGAAGTCTAACTAGAGGAAAATTTTTATACTGTAATATCTGAAAATATTTCCTATACTAAATGGTGCAGTCATACATTAACAGCAACAAGACACGCTGCAAGTGTTAAACAATATCTGCAACTAGGAGATGAGACAGCTAAAATTAGCAATGAAATATTCTGGGGATTTCTCTAAAACACAGATTCTGGTCAACCACTTTCAAAAATGTTCCAATCTGCATATCCAGATTGCTTGACTTTCAGCATTCAAACCAAGCTGGCTGTTCAGGCTCTGTAGACACCCAAGAGCTGCAGGTCAAAGAATAAAAGCATTTCATTTGAAATTCCAGACAATAGCCAAAAATCTCCTTTGCTCAGGAACTTTATTCAAGCTTATCAAGGAACAGCCAACCTGATCCATAGCCTAAAGGATACACTCAATGTTATGTGCTATAAAACCATTATCCAAAGGTACCATGGATTTTCTGATATGTATATTTTAGGAAAACCCTTGAGTATATTCTGTCTCTGCTGGCAGAATATTTATATTTAATTTTATTTTCCAACAATTGCTGGCAAGTTGTCATAGCGTGGCTTTACACATTTCAGGAAGGCTGCTCCTCTAGGACCCATTCCAGTGTCTTTTGAAACTTCTCAGAGCAGCCCTCTTGCATCCAACAGCTGGTGAATCAAACCCTTGGGTTGAAACTGTCTCGTTACCAGTTCTTCAGGAAAAGGTTTCTTGATTTTTATTGAGATATTTTTGGGATGAGATTGAGATTTAGATTTTCCAGAAAAGAAAACAGCAAGGATTTTTATTTTCTGGCTGAAGATGTTAGTTGTGAGGTCAGATTTTTTGTATGCTTGCACAACAGAAGAAACTTAAGTTCACAAGCCAATTTAAAAAGGAAAAGCCTGGTCCATATATTTTATATTGTGTGCATTAGCTATTTATTTTGAATCAGAAGTGTAATTTAAAATCTCTCTTCCAACTAACTCCACGCACTTCAGTTCACATCACAGAGTCTTGGTGTACATGAACTTGGTATCATTTGGATGAAAGATAACTGAAATATATGTTTCAGAAGTGTACCTGCTACTCTGAGGCCAGGCTAGAGTTAATGTAAAAACTAGTAAAACACTGGGCATAGTGGATGTTAGTTGCACTCCACAGATCCACTCCTAATGCATTAAGCATTTTGCTGTGGAATTTGGGTGATTTTTGTCACCAGTTCAGCAAGAGCCAAATTTGTAGACTGAAAGAATAGCATTCACCCAAAGCCTAGGAAGGCTTGTTCTTGAACACAAGGTGCGTTGTATTCTCCCTTGAAGCACTCCACTACTGATATATAGGACTGAATCTCAAAGAACTAGCTTATGCACCATCTGCCTAGACTGCAGTAGTGACTTCTGAACTAAATATGCTCTTGCTTATTGCTTTCTCTTTCTTCTATAGATCAAATCACAGCCTACTCTGGGGTAAGCAGACTGCTGTTGTGATTTAATGCTGATAGGCAGCTCATCCCATGCAACTACTTACCTACTTACCCTAGCAGAATAGGAAAGAGAATTGGAAAGATAGATGTGTGAGAATTCATGGGTTGAAGTAAAGATCAGGTAAAGCAAAAGCTGTGCATGGAAGCAAACCAAAATAAGGAATTCATTCATGACTTTCCATTGTCAGGCAAATGTTCAGCCACTTCCAGGAAAGAAGGAATCATCACATGCAGCAGTTTCTTGGGAAAACAAACACCATCACTCTAAATATCCACCCTCTTCTTCTCTACTGCACCTTTTGTCACTAAGCATGATGCCGTATGGTACAGGATATGCCTTTGGCCAATTTGGACCAGCTATTCTGGCTGTGGCCCTATCCCATCTCCTTGTGCACTGCCAGCCCCTTCACTGGCAGGGCAGCGTGAGAAACTGAAAAGTCCTTGGTTTGTGCAAGCACTTCTCAACAACAACTAAAACACTGGTGTGTTATCAATACTGTTTTCACCACAAATCCAAAACACAGCACCATACCAGCTACTCTGAAGACTGTTGACTCTGTCTCACCCAAAACCAGGACAACTGTGTACATGGTACTGGTAGCTGACAGTAGCTACTGGTAGCTGGTACACAATGTTACTTTCACAGCTTTCACTCTCAAAGCATACAAAAAATGACAGCTTTCTAGAGTATCATTATCTTGATTATCTTTCCAAACATATTTCTCTTATTAAAGAGAAGCCACATCACAAAATGATATGACTGACCATAGACAGAAGGAAAATACATCCTTCATGCATTAAATAAGAGTGCAAGAGACAGCAAGCGACCAAGCACTAAAATCATCTCCTGCCAAGAGGGCTGTACCTTCCAAATGTTAAGAGTAATGAAGAAGATGCAGGCATACACACTACGCAGCTAATAAATAGCAGAACAGATGTTACTGAAGAAAACTGTGAATTTATCAATTCATTTGTTTTCAACTGCAGTTAAACATTTATTTCAAGTTTTCATATTTATCTGAGTTGAATTCATACATACCTTGATATCCCTAAGTAGGTGGTAGCAGACAGACATTTAGAACTTCAGTCCAGGACTTCTTGTCTTCTCACTTGTAATTCTACAGAATGAAAAAAATTTCATTAAAACCTTACAAGTTTTGAGGCTGGTACTGGAGAGGAGGGAAGCATTTTTAGCTTTTTTCTTCTTTCTTTCCTAGTAAGACAGACTCAAATATAAGTTTTATAATATTACGAAGCACAGGTGTGGCCTTACTTCGGGTGCTCAGTCATGTGAAACAGCTACTCATCTATTAGCTAGAATCACTCCTTCAGACACTTTATCACAAAAATACAGAGCATTTCTAGCGCCTCTCTGGAAGATGAAGCTATTCAGTGTTTCATATGTGAATGCGCCTCCCTTTATACATACAGTTCATGCACCAGAAAATATCAATTTTCTCCACAAATGTCAGAAAGTACACTTAGCTTATCAGATACATAACTCATTTCCCTATTTACCATTAACCTCCCAAATTAATGCATATACAGGCACCTCCACTATGTCCTGAAAGTGCTGTGACTCTCCCCTAAAGATGAGAGACTGAGGCAAAGTCCTAAACTTTTCTGCTTCCAATTTGTCATCAAGAACTTCAGACATAGGTCATCATTATTAAGTTGTCATACTAGGCTGATTAGGAATGACTAGGAACGAATCTACCAATACTTCTTAACAGGAACAAATAGGAGAGGAGAACAAACCTAGCAGCAAATACCACAGTTTGAAAAAAAAATGACGCTTTCTAATTCTCAACACAGAAACTCCAGTCCTAATGGTGTCCATGGTGAATCCCTGTAAAATAACTTTTTACTTAGTTGTTACTTTACATGTCACCCACTGATCTCCTTGCCCTCCTGGTGATGCATTTTAATGTCCTACTCTGTAACAAGTTTGCCAGAAGTAAGTTGACCCTCTGGCTCTGATCCTCCCCTCCAATATCACACAAACACATTGAAACAGATTCCTTGACTGCTGAGGTCTTTTCAATAAATATTTTAATATCTCTGTTTAAATCAAGACACATTTTTGTGGAAGGTCATTCCATCAAGTGGACACACCATTTTTAAATTTTTACATTAATTTTCTGATGAGAAGTCTCCGCAGACTTCCTCCATTGTAAATAAAGCAGGTGAAAAATGTCCTCAGGTCTCTGAAGGTGAGGTAAAAAAAATTAATTCCTACTCACTCTGATTAACTTGTTCTGCAACACAGTTTTAGCAGATATCCCCTCTGGAAAAATTTCTTAATTGCTTCCCAAAGGCAGTGTGCCCGTGACTAGCTCTTGACATTATTAGGGAAATATTTTACCGTGATTTTAGTGTTGTGTATACACTGCATTACTTAGAGAGAAACAAATCTCAATGCTCATATTCTTAATTTTCTGAAGTTTAATAATTAAGATGGAATGAAACAGTCAACCGTCAATTAGATACATTTTCATGAGCTACTGAAGTAATAAAATCTTGCATTCTGGTACACATATCAAAAAATCCTTCAAGTATGTAGACCTTCTATCCCTAAAAGATGAAATATGTTATACTTCAGCAAATTCAGAGTTTTAATGCAGGAACAAAGAGATTAATATATGTATGTAAATACAAATATATACATAATTATATATATTTACACATTTTTTTATTATTATTATTATTTAAAATGAGATGGTGCAGGAAATTAAAGACCACCAAAAAATTCCGCAGTATATAATGTAAAAACATTACCCAGAACATCATATTAAAAAAAACCCATCAGATAATAAGAACTATAAAATGCAAGAAGACTTTGAAACACAGAGAGCAAAGAAGGAAGCACCAATAACAAGATTTGTCATTTGTGAGCTTCTACCAACTAGCTCACTTACAGTTCCTAACAAGAGGAAAAGACTACTCTTGAAAAGAGACTTTGTCAGGTTACAGTGGGCTATAGAGCATTTTACTTCTGCAAGTAGGAGCTATAATGCAATATTGTATGCTTCGCAGATCAGCTTCACATGTAAGGATAAACTACAGTTAATCCTCTAGCAACATTTTTCTCTCTCCTGTTAGAAAAAAAATCTGTATATATATTTTCCAGACAGCCAAACAAACAAACAGGAGCAGGAACAACAGGAAAAAAAAAAAAGCTAAAAACAAAGAAAATCTTAGGAAAGGTAAAGTAAACACGTTGAAAAAGATCTTAGGACTTTTAATTTCAACAGTAGCTCCAATTAGGAAACATTATCTTTTCTAGACAATGCCTAGATAGAAGGATGGGCTATGGGCTATTTAAATGCTGTTTATTAAAATGTGATGAACTGAAACCACTGGGTATGACCAGGGGGATGTGGTCTACCCTGTGTATGCGTGTCACAGTACGTGAATGCATTGATGATATATTACCTTGTATTGCACCCATGGGATTTTAGGCAAGCACTTAAAGCAATGAATAAGAGTATTTTGGCTTCTCTCACACTCATGACAGACAAGCTATACAGAGTATATGGTACTTTCATACTGAAGAAAAAACATACAGATCTGAGTCTATGAAGATGTGTCATTAAATCTGGCTTAAAGAAATAAATAGAACATCAGCGGAGGATAGCACATGACTTCTTAAAATACAGAATATACCTGTAGTCACTACCACTCGATATATAAAACACTTATCCTTACTCTGCCTACTTCCTTTACCCACCTTTTGCTGTTAGATGAAAACCACAGCAGACACAAAGCAACAAGATGAAAAATCATGTTTCTGAGAACTAGTGATAATGACAAAGATAGATTGGACAGAAAGCAGATTCTGTTTGGCTCAAGTGTCATGTTCTTTGAGAGAAGAGTGTTTCAGTTCTGAGGATTTAGCTTTCTGCAGAACATTTATAGCAATATTGTATGTATATATATATATTTATATAATATTAATACATTAATAAATTACATAAATTAAGCCAATAATATATATATTGTTATCTTCTGTTAGCCAATCACACCGTACCTGGCAACTCCACAGACAGAAGTGCTGGTGTGCAGCCAGGGCTGGGGACAGTGTTCTACCCTTGATCTATGTAAGCCTGTTAGGAGGGGGGAAGAAACCCCCTCAAAAAAGTAGTTAAACATTGGATTCCATACCAAGGTCATCCTTAAATTCTAAGATCATCCTTAGAAAAAGGCATTCAACCCAGATAATCTGTGTTGCAAAAAAGATACCAGGAACTTAACATTTATATGTGGCTTTTGAGGGATCGCAGCAGTACAGCTGTACTGAGAGTGACTATGCTGTGTTATGCCTATTGCAAATGGGGCACGGTACAATAATCATCCTTCTTGCATTAGGCAAGCTAATATGACTAATGGAGCATAACTGCAAAGTAGCAATTGTATATGTACTTTTTCCAGGGGGCAAATTAAGAGAGATCTCTTTTCAGTCATTTTGCTAATAAATAAAACAGGGAGGTGGTATCAATTGTCACAGATCAAGGATACTTAATATTCTTATTTCTGAAAATTAGCACTCATCATTGCTCCCTCCCCTTGCTTTTCATTTTATTCCAGAGAGGTTTCCGTAGCAACTAGGTCATCTGCCCAGTTTAATCTTCAAAGCTATAACATTACCTTGGATTTTTGCTGAAAGAGGAACAAACAGAAGATGACACTTATTGTTTGTAGCCTCTTACATATAAAAATAACAGGGTTTTGAGAGAGGATCTCTGGCAATAAGACAGCAAGGTGTGTTAAAGTTCATCACCTTTCTCAGATAGCAAACAGCTTGTGATGGACATCAAACCTGGACAGGCCTGGAAGCAACTTACTTCTACAATTTGTCCAACATATACTGCAGGACCACCGGGGACACTGGCAGCATTTCTGGAGGTGAACAGGTGACCTGTCACTAGCCCTCCATAATATCTTTCAATCACACAGTATTCACTCATCACTGCTTCTCACTTAGTCCAAATTGAGCTGATATGATTGAAGAAAGAATCTCAACAGCTTGCGCAAAGCATGTGTGATTTATGCTTCAGCAGTGTTCCAACCAAAACATTTACAGATGCAGAGGATAAACAAGGTGAAAGGAGACAAACATTTTTCACTTTTAAATAAAGGCTTAAGCAATGAGAGGCATCTGGTTTTATGGGATTTTAGGTCATAAAAGTTAACGTCTGAAAACAAAACAGTTTCTAACATGAGTTTTATACGGCAATGGATACGATGAGCAACTCGATTCAGATGAGTGCATTCACTCCTGTGCTACCTTCAAGCAAAAGAAGCTCCAAAGTTCAGAAAATTGCCACTGTATTCTTTTAAGCAGCACAGTATACACCACAAGAGTAATCTGACATCCCAGAACGCTGCCTCCCAGTGCTAGGGGAGAGAGATAAGTAAGAACATTTTTTTCTGCAATATTCCTCTCATTTTGTTCCTCATTCTAGAAAGTACTGGACATTTTGTTTGGCTACTTTTTCACCCACCTGAAAAAAAGATATAACATACAGGGAAAGTACAGAACTTAACAATAAAGAGGTTCTTGATTTAATTTCTAGGAAAAGGTGTCATGTTTAATACAATCAAAAATACTAATGAGTAAATACATAACATGACTGAATTGACTTCTTGGCTTGTTTCAAAGATCATGGGTGGGTTTTTTTTTTTTTAACAGAATAAAGTTCATTAACCAAAGCTCCCAGTTAAATCTTCCTTCTCCTAAAATGTCCCAATTAAATGAGCTTTTTTGTACCAGAACTTCCTCTCCAAAAATGTGCAGGACTAAATGTATCATGAAACATTAGTAACTGTCTAAAAAACTGTGTGCAGCCATTAGAGCGTTTGTGGGAGGCTGAACTAATTAAACATGACATAATTCCTAATCAAAGTGAAATATTAAACACATCTTTCACATAAGAGAATGAGAAAGTGGGTTGAGTTTAACAGTGAAAAAAAAGTTCACAAAGTGAAGATATCTGCAGAATTGTTATATTTTCTGCTTAGAATTGTTTATCATCTGGCAGTTAATGAAGCAGAGCAGACCTAATATATGCTCTCATTTTAATATTTGATGCCTAATATTGTACTGCATGTTGGCCTT